CCCCCCAAACCCTAAACCCTAGACCCTAAACCTTAAACCCTCGTAAACCCTAAACCCTAAACCCTAAACCCTCGTACAATCAAGAGTATCAGCATCATCGAATTCTTCTTCTTCTTCTTCTCCTTCCTCAAAAGATTGGTGTTGGTATCTTCTGGTGAGAGAATCTATGGCGGAGACAAGGTGTGCTGAGCCCCCCCTTCTCCCCCAGTCCTGCTGCTGCTGCTGCTGCTGCTGCTGCTGCTGCTGCTGCTGCTGCTGCTGCAGCTGCTGCTGAGATATACGCCGAACTTCTGCTGCTTTTGCTGCCCAACGAGAAGCCTCCTGAGCCTCGCTTGGATCTATAAAGTCATCCGCTTCTTCTTCTTCTTCTTCGTCACCCACCTAACACACAAACCCTCGTAAACCCTAAACCCTCGTAAACCCTAAACCCTAGTAAACCCTAGGAAACACTAGGAAACAATAGGAAACAATAGGAAATAGTAGGAAACCCTAAACCCTAAACCCTAGTAAACCCTAGTAAACCCTAAACCCTAAGCCGTAGGAAACCCTAGTAAACCCTAGGAAACAATAGGAAACCCTAGAAAACCCTAAACCCTAGGAAACAATAGGAAACCCTAAACCCTAGTTCTACCCGAGAACACACGTCCTTGCTTCATACTCTAGTCACCATAAACCCTCAAACCCTAAACCCTAAACCCTAAACCCTAAACCCTAAACCCTAAACTAAATACATACACTACTCCTCGGCATATACCTACAATGCAAACCCTAAACCCTAATAAACCCTAAACCCTAGTAAACTCTAAACCCTAATAAACCCTAAACCCTCATAAACCCTAATATATGCACCCTCAAGAGAGATTCCGAGAGCCAGAGCAGCAGCACCCCTCCTCCTTGTCATGCAAACCCTAAACCCTAAACCCTAAACCCTAAACCCTAAAAATAATATACCTGGGCCTCAACATCGAGAAAGGCGCTAACACCCCTTCTTCTTTTTGCTGCTCTTTCTCTTGCATGCGTTTTC